ATATTGTTTAATTTGGACCATGATGAGGTTACCGGAATGGTGTTTGTCGACTTTAGAAAGGCTTTTGACGTAATTGACCATAAGATTCTCCTAAAAAACTTGGAATTTTATAGAGTGACTGATGTAGCGTTGACCTGGTTTAAGTCCTACCTTTGTGATCGCTACCAATTTGTTTCTCTCGAAGGTAAATCGTCTGAATGCTTACCACTGACGAAAGGGGTACCACAGGGTTCAGTCTTGGGACCTGTATTATTTCTGCTGTTTGTGAATGATTTACCACTTCATTTACAATATTCTTCAGTCGACATGTTTGCTGACGACACTACTATGTCTGCATGTGCTCACTATTTGCATGAAGGTCACTATTTAAACCATCATTCATCGAAGAAATGTCCCATGCTTGTGACTGGAAAAAGGATACCAAAGAAATTGGACTCACAGAATGACCCATGTCTGCAGCTCAAGATAGATGGCGTTGATGTCAGCGGTGGGTGTTGCCTCGAAAAAACTTTTAGGAATTACCTTGGATTCTAAAATAAGTTATGAAACGCATGTCGAGGAACTAGCGAAGAAGATTTCAAAACGATTAGGATTGCTTAAACATATCAGTCCTTATCTCAAGCAACATCAACGAGAAACATTTTATACTTGCGTTATCAAGCCCACTCTCATGTACGGTGGTGTGGTCTGGGACAGCTGTAATATCAATTGTCATCAAAGACTTTTGAAACTTCAGAAGAGGGCGGCAAGAATTATTCTAGATGTTGATAAAAGAACGCCTTCAATTGAACTTTTTAATAAGCTAAATTGGCTGCCTTTGTTGAAACAGTCTCTTATAAAAAGAACATCTATAACTTTTAAAAGAGTAAATACAGATTATGTTATCCCTGAATATTTAAGCACGATGCTAGTAAGGAACTCAGATATTCATACTAGAAATACTCGCTTTAATAATATGAACATGGTGTGCCCAAAATACACTAGAGAGACTGAAGGTGGGCGCACTTTCACCGTTAGAACTATTAAAGATTGGAACGCCCTCGATGTTACATTGCGCAAACAGAAATCTATATCTATGTTTAAACGCAGTTTTTATACTAAAATTTTAACGGACCAGAAGTCCGCCATGCGTTTAGAAATTGCTTAGGTGGGTGGTGGATTATTTTATTTGTAAATATGGTAGTTTTAGAGTTTTTATAAGTTTTAGTATTGTATTAGCTTAATTGTACTTATGTAAAGAGGGCCACGAATTTATCAGTAGTTCACACTTACTGTCAATGTTTACCCTCATGAAATAAAGTCTGAAAAAAAAAATTGGGGTACCGTAAACATTGGGTACCGTATAATGTAGAAAAATGAACGAAATTTCGCGAACTCAAATTTTGTAAACCAGGGGGTGGGGGTGGAGGGGTTTATTTCCAACAAAATAAAAATGGCTTGCGCACGAGATTTAAAAGCTTTAATTAATTGTATTTTGAGTTAATGGGTGCAAAATGTGTTGGGTGTTTAGTTGCTGCACGAAATTTCAAACAATTTGCATCCATAGTTAAAGACTATTCATGCAAATGTTGCTTAATTAATGCATTTGCCTAATTTGCATATGTCAGCAATATGCAAATTAGGTAAAGGCATTGCAAATGGCTGATTTGTTAGGAAAAAATGAATAGTTAAAAAACTTAAGCTAAAGCAAATTGTCTGAAATATTGTACAGTAATTAAAAAGCCAACAACTGTTTCATCCGATAATTCAAGCGATTAAAGCTTTTAAATTTCGTGCGCAAGCCATTTTTAGTTTGTTGGAAAGAAACCCCCGGATTTACAAAATTTTGAGTTCGAGTATTTTGTTCCATTATTCTACATTATGGGTACTCAAGGAATCTATATATAACGAAAACTTGATACCGCGAGCTGTTTTTCGAGATTGAGAGCAATTTCAAATCTGTTCAGCTTGGCAGTAGTGATTAATCACCCTGATTGAAATTGATTTCGAAAGAAAAAAGATTGACAACTTCTTCTCGAATCGGTCTATTATTCCCACCCCAGTGTACTTTACAAGTGTCTATCTATGAGCAAGGCCTCCTCTCTAACTATAAGGTAGTATACATTAAAAACTTGTCTAAATTATTGCTGTTTAAAACGTTTCCACTTGCCAATGTCTCCACTACGTAATGGTACTCCACAGCTGTGGTGTTTATTTATGATATATGGTTATTTAGTGTGTTTTAATCTATATCATGCAGTGTTTGGATTTTGCGCGTGTGTGCTCGGTTTGTCAAATGACTCGTTATTTAGAGTCAGTGAAATATCCAGGAAACTCATGGAGCATTCCTGAGCTGTAGGTCTTTTATCTGCATCTTTCGCCCAACACCGCTTCATGATAAAGAGTACTTCCGGGAAAATGATCCTTCTGGAATTTGTTTCGGGATGATAACCTCTGGCGATCTTTTCTTGGAATTCATCTTTGTTGAGTGGCATGAGGTTTTGGAACACCTGGGTGCCATACCACATCTCCCACAACATAATACCGTAACTGTAAATATCTGCTTCTTTTGTGCGCATCTTCAGATCTTTAAGTACTTCTGGTGCGAGGTAAATGATGCTTTTCTCTGTTTTCTTATAATGACCCACAATGCCAATATCTGATATCATTGCTCGACCATCTTTATGCACCTAAGGCGAAACAATATTGAATGGCATTTAGAGATTATATAAATTAAAATAGGTAGTCAATCCTCCTGGACATCAAACATGCTAAAGGAAAAATGCACGTATAAAGACTTAGCATATATTATGGAAAATTGAAACAATCTGAAACTGATTTTAAACCTATAGACCGAGGGGTATACGACTGGACTGTGATGCGAGGAATTTGAAATCCTTGCAGCTCCCCACAACGTTTTGAAATATGGGAAGTTTATAATTTGGATCAAACTTTTTATTATTTCGAAACACTACACGTGATAACGTAAAATGTAAGAAATCAGGTAATTTGACCCCCTCCTCCCCTGCCGCAATGACAGAGTCTTCGCTACGTCCTTGCCTATATTGTCTGACCGCAGCAAATTAAAATTTCATTTTACTATGTGTAGGCATGTAGCATATGGTAAATTGAAAACATGTCTACTACTGTAATTTTGCATTTTACAACTTCATTGTATATTCCAAATATTAAATTTAATTTTGATAGAAAAAAGAAGTGTTATTGATTTGTAAGTTATTTTTCACAAACGTGTCCCTCGTCATTGACACACCGCCCTAAAAACAGTCGTTTCGCAGTTTACTGGCGACAACAGTATGACTAATTTCATGTTACCAGTTGGTTATTTGCACATCAAACCAGTTAATAAAAGCATGATTGGCCTAACCCTTTTTCATTGATATACACTTTCATTTATTAATATATGGTAAATACAAACCAAAATGTTTTCTAATTTGAGATGTCTGTGGAAAAGACGCTTTTGGTGGATGTAGTGTAAACCATCCGCAATTCCTATCGCCCACTTGAGAAAGCTTTCAATTGCTCGTTTGGTGTTCTCAGCTTTTGCAGGTGTTACGCTATCGTCATTGAAAATGACATTTCTGAGATTGTCGTGGCAGAATTCCATCACGAAAACGAATTTGTGGTCAACGGATGGAGTGGATGGATTATGAGTACTCATCATACGCATACTTCCGTAGAACGTAAGAATGTGTTTGTGATTCAGCCCCCTACAGTAAATAAAATGACGTTAAAAATTCAGAAAAATTATGTTGTTTTACTAAACTAGTGAACTGTATACTTGTTTACTTATATGCGAAGGTGAACCTCAAAATTCAGCTTTTAGAGCGTGAATTCAGTTTAAAAAAGTTCTGGCAATAAAGAGGATTTGATAGAATTTTTAAAATTACAAATAAAACTCCTTTCCCGATTTAAACCCCTTTAACAAAACTAATCCATCCCTCCCAAACAACCAACCAACCAACCAACCAACCAACCAACCAACCAACCAACCAACCAACCAACCAACCAACCAACCAACCAACCAACCAACCAACCAACCAACCAACCAACCAACCAACCAACCTGAAAGCGCAAGAATTGAAATCATATTTTAGATGCAACATTAATGGCTGACATTATCAGAACCATATGATTAATAATTGTATATGATATGATTTATCCAGCATTGTTTATTTTTGTGTTCCATATTTCACTAAATGAAATAACAGAGGCATGCAGTGACGTAAATATACATATGTATACACCTGATAATAATTTCTTCATTGAGATAAAATCTTGAATTTGGAAGATCGAAAGGTTGCTTGAATACTTTAACCGCTACGATTTGGTGAAGATTTGACTGCTTAGTTGTGTTGCTTCCAGTAGTAGTTAAAGTACCACGGTACACGGAGGAAAACTCTCCTTCTCCAATGAATGAACCCACGTCTTCTTTCCAGTCAAGATCATGGGCATCCACTGTTGCTGGATAGAGCCTAACACCTAGGAATCCCAGTCTCTCCCACGACTCATAACTTCTCTTCTGAATTGGACTACATCGCCTTAATACTTCACCTTGGTCTCGCGTTTCGTTGTTTAACTGTGAAACCATTTTCCAATCGGCATCAATCACCCGCGGAAGCGAATTTGTATATTTTGACAAGACCGATTTGGTTTTCTCCATTTGCTTCCCAGCATATTGACGCGGAACGTTTCCGACTATAGAGTCAAGAAACTTTTTAGACCGTTTGGCCAACGTATCATTTGGTTGACATTGATAATTCTCAAGCTTCCTTTTGCCATCAACACGTTTTTTCACAGCTATTGCTCCCAAAGCAGGCCCGCCAATTATAAGACCTGCTATCCCGACCGAAATCCAAAGAGGGGTTGTTGCTCCGACGAGAATTTTGGCTGTCATCGACATGGGACTTTTGCTGTTTAAAGAAACATAACCAACTTGTCTTTCACCACCATACATAACATTCTCAACTTCTTGAAGGTCCTCCTCTATAAGATTCAACCTATATTAGGAAATATAAATATACCAAATGTATCGCACGTCAATTCATAGTTTATTCAGTATTATAATGAATAATGCATTAAGTTAGTTATGTTATTGTCCGATAATTATTATTTGAGAAATACATAACAATTTGCGGCTTTTATTAAATGTGAATTTTGTGAGGACAAACGAAACGTGTAGAACACGAGGGGATAGCCGACATAATTCAATAAAAGCACAAGACAAGCAATATTTCTCTTAGATTACAAAAAGAATTTATAAGCACATTAAATTATTTTTTCAAGGATCAAAGTGACATCACATTCAAGTAGTATAGTAGGTGGTTTTGAGGCATGATTTTTAGGGAGCCGCTTCATTATATATGCAAGTAATTACTATGCAAGAGGGCTGCATCATTATATATGCAGGTAATTAAGGGGCGGGGCGCACATTATATATACCGGTAATGAAGGGGGCCGCACATTATATGCAGTTCACTTAATATATGCATGATGTCACGCGGGCAAGTTCGGACGAAATCGTCAAAACTTGCTGACTAGGCATTTTTTAGCGTCCTTCCACGTGTGTGATACAATAGGGGGATTAAGATTGGCTTGCAACGCATAGGAATGCGTTGCTGCTAGGTACAGAAATATCTTGAGATATGTCCATATTTTTGATAAATTTTAAAACATTCAAGCACAATCTTTTGTCGAATTGAGTGTCATGAACTACAATGTATCTTGAACTATTTGTGGTATTGGAAACAAGAAGATGGATGTAGCCTTAGAGGCATTTGAGCGATTATTCAATGACGTTATCAATGATCATGCGCCTGTGAAAGAGAAACGTGTTAAATTATGGCGCCAGCCCCCTTGGATGAAACCAGAAATCTTGTCTATAATGAAGAAACGAGATCGGCTCCTTAAAGAGGCCATTAATGTTTCTGGTAAAGCCAACAGAAACACTGAGGAGTGGCGACATTACCGTAAAGTGCGTAACAAAGTAGTCTGGCTAATAAATAGAAGCAAACGGGAATTTTACAGATCATCTACTGAAGAAAACGAAGGTCACTCTGGAAAAATGTGGAACTCGATTAATGGCATCTTGAAACGTGATAAAAAGTCCTCCTCTCCAAGATCAATAAAAGAG